TTTTTTTTTTTTTTTTTTTTTTTGGCGGAACCGGGGATTGAACTCAGGTCCTTGCGCTTGCCAGGGAAGCGCTTATTCCACTGAGCCATCTCCCCAGCCCAGTAATTCTTATAGTGTAGAAGAGTCTGAATTCTGGGAAAGCACAACTTTTGTCTCATGGGAGAAGATGAGAAGCCAGCGACCAGGGAAAACTGGGAAGGGGCCGGGGCGAAGGCCAGCTCAGCTGGAGTGTTGGTCTCTTAGGGAGCAGGCCTCTGCAGTTTTTTCCACCCTGACTCCTACGTCTAATTTCTCTTTGTTGTTGTTATTATTAATTATTATTATTATTTTATCTGCTGTTGTAATACTTTTTTTTGTTAATTAAATGTTTTGGTCAGAAAAAAAAGAAAGTCTGGCTCAGAGAAGAAACAACAGCATATCCAAGATCTGTCCATAGGGCATCCAAAAAAGAAAACTGCAGGCCAATCTCCCTAATGAACACAGATGCAAACATTGTCAGTAAGATACTGGCAAACAGAATGCAGGAAATCAAGCAAATTATATACCATGACCAAGTAGGATTCATCTCAAGGCTGCAAGGATAGTTCAAAATCCACAAATCAATAAATGTAATATAGAGCCAGTCAGATAGTTCAACAGACTAAGGCACCAGCTTTGGCAGAGCACAGTGGCCAGGTTCAATCCCCAGCATGCCGTGCTGGCCCCACCCACAGGGCGCGCTGAGACAGTGACTGAGACTCGGTGTGGTGGTGCACGCCTGTAATCCCAGCTCTTGGGAGGCTGAAAACAGGAGAATCACTATGTGTCTGATCTGTCCTAAATACAAGATAATAATAATAATAAATATTTAAAAAGGGCTAAGGAGACACCTCAGTGGCATAAGTGTCTGCCTGGCATGCGCAAGGTCCTGAGTTCAATCCCTGGTACTGTAAAAAAAATAATAATAGTAATATACCATATGAATAGAGCCAAAGACAAAAATCACACAATCATCTCAATAGATGCAGAAAAAGCATTTGATGAAGTCCAACACCCATTCATGATAAAACTACCAAAAATTGGAATAGAGTAGAATAGATGTCTTTTATCTCAATCTGATAAAAGACATCTACAACAAACCCACAGCTAACAAATATCATACTATATGATCAAAAACTGAAAGCATTCACTCTAAACTTAGGAATACTAGAAGGATTTCCACTAATACCATTCCTATGTAATATAGTTCTGGAAACACCCAGAGCAGTTAGACAAGAGAAATATATAAATAGAATAAGGATAGGATAGGAAAGAAGGAAGTTAAATTATCATTATTTGTGGATGGCTTGATATTCTACATGGAAGACCACCAAAAACTTCACAAAAAAGACTTACAGATTTCATAACCAAATTAAGTAGTGTAGGTGGATACAAAGTCAACACTCAAAAATCAATAGCATTCTGTACCCAAAAAGTTTACCGAGAGGGAAATTAGGGAAACCACATACTTCACAATAGCATCCAGAAAAATGTAGTACTTAGGAATCAATGTAACGAAGAAGGTAATAGATCTGTACATTTAAAATTACAGTATTCTGGAAAAAGATTGAAGAGGATGTCAGAAAATGGAAGGATATTCCCTTTTCATGGATAGGAAGAACCAACATAGTGAAAATGGACATATTCCCAAAATTGTTTTACAGATTTAATGTAGTCCTGATCAAAATATTAACATTCCTCATAAAACTAGAGAGAACATTCGTAAAATTCATTTGGAAACAGAAGAGACCTAGAATGGTAAAAACAATTCTGAGGAACGAAGACAAGGCAGGGGGCATCACAATCCCTGAACTGAAATTACACTATAAAGCTACTGTGATAAAATCAGCATGGTATTGGAAAAAAAAAATCTGAAGATGAGTGGAACAGATTAGAAGATACAGATACAACTCCAAACACTCAGCTACCTTATCTTTGACAAATGGACCAACCATGTTCACTGGAAGAAAGCCTAGTAAGTGGGGCTGAAAAACTAAAGATTAAAACTAGACCCATGTCTCTTACTGTGTACTAAGCTGATGTCAAAATGCATCAGAGATTTAAATATTAAAACAGAAACAATCTACTACAATAGAAAGTAGGTCAAACTCTTTTTAAAAGAAATTTTCTTATACAATTTTTATTTATTTATTTATTTATTTATTTATTTATATTTTATGTGTGTGTGGCCAGCTCAGCCCACCGGGGGCAGGGCTGGCTGGCATGTGGTGCTGGGGGATTGAACTGCGGTCCCTGTGCTTTGCTTAGCTTAGCTTGTTCTAAGTAGGTGCTTTTAGACCACTGAACCATCTCACCAGCCCCAGTCAAACTCTTGAAGCCATAAATATATGCAGAGAATTCATGAACAAAACTAGAATGGGAATAAAATCAGAACAAAGTTGCATGGATAATACTTGAAAGAATCAATAGCTGAGAGCTCATCTTGTTAGGAAGTTTATACATAAAAAAAGACCAACACAGTGAAAAAAACTCAAGAGTGGGAAAAAATTTTAGCCAGTTTTCCCTCAAAGGACTTGTATCTAGAACATGTATAGAACTGAAAAAATCAAAACCCTTAAATTCAATAAAAAACTGGGCATCTGAGATGAGTACACACTTCTCAGATGAAATACAGGTGGCAAATATATGAAAAAAATGTTAAGTATCATTGTTCACTTGAAAAATACAAATTGAAACAACACTGAGATTCTACCTCACCCCAGAAAGAATAACTATCATAAAGAAATCAATAACATGCTGTGGGCATAAAATGAACTCTTCTCCACTGCTGGTGTGAGTGTACACTGGTGCAGTGTAACCACTGTGGAAATGAGCATGGAGATTCCTAATAAACATAGGATTCTAGGTCCCCTTTGATCCAGCTATTCCCCTTCTGGGTATCTTTCCAGAAGAAGAAAAAAACATCATACCATAGCATTATATGTGTGCCCATGTTTATAGTAGCAGAATTTGTAATAGTCAAATGTTGGAAACAACCCAAATGCCCATCAGCTGAGGAATGGATGAAAGAGTGTTTTTTTCTTCAGTAGAGTACTGCTCAGCTATAAAGAAGAATTAACTGGAGTCTTTTACAAGCAAATGAATGCAACTTGAGACCATACTCGTAAGTGAAATAAACCAGGTTCACATGTGTAAATGTATTTTCTCCATGATGTGAAAAACAGAGTAAATAAGGTCCATAATATACATTATTGTGATATTGTTATGGAAAGAAAATTATTCAAAAGGAAAAAGTAAGTAGGATGGGGCAAAGGGAAAGGAAAAAACCAACAAGGTAGTTATACTTTTAGGTTTTCTTAGTTCACTGAAAAGAGAGGTTTTTGTTAATATTATTTGTTGAACTCTTTATGCCTATATCTTTACTGAGTAGCTACTTTCAGTATAACAATATTGCAATGTATTAAATAACAATATTATTCTCCAGTTATTTTATTATGAAACTGTTCTACATTTCTACAAAATAAAAAAGCAAAAGTAATCAATAAAGCACAGATGCTCTTTGTTTTCTGTTTGTCTTACAAATCGTTGGGCTCACAAACGAGTAGAAATGTGTTGTTTTAGAAATTAGTCAAACTTTTTTGTTGATTTACATTTAGGTATACATAGCCTTGGTAGCCAGAAAACAATCTATATGTTTAATTTGAAACTGTTCATGTTTATAAATACATCATAAAAATAAACTCAAATTCCCCTTTACCTAAAAAGAATAGAATACCATCTTATGGATGTTACTTTCTAATTGACAGTATCCCGTTAAGAGTTTGAAATCATTGAACAAACCACCCCAAAGAGAGCAGCTTCAGTAATTCTGCCTTGCAGTGCTGCAAGAAGTTAAATGCTCCCCTCCCCAGGAAGGGCAATGCCCCTTAAGCAATCTAAGAAGTCACTTATGGGGAAAGCCCATCACTTAGACGAGAGTCAGAAGAAAATCTCTTTCTTTCTCTCCATTTTTCCTCATTCTTTGAGTTTAGCTAAGAGAAGGAAGGAAAACACCCAGTTTTAGAGTAATTTTTTCCAATTTTTCCAATTCTCTTTGTCCAAAGTTTTGTTTACAACTGAAACATAAGACCTTTATTTTTGGCCATGGAAACAGTACTACTGTCTTCTCAAATCTTGATGTTGATTTAAATTAAACATTTTTTAAAGTTCTTTTTTATTATTTTATTGAGAAAGAAATAGCAATGAGACAGTTAAAAAACAGGTTAGTAGGACAGTTACAATAATATATTGCATATTTGTTGTCTTTGTACTAGTTATTCATAGTACAAGATGCAGACATGATATCATGTCCAAACACTATTAGTACAGATCTCATTGAACTAAGAGAAAGGAGCTATCTATCTATCCTATTTTGTATATACAGATACGTATATTTAAATTAGATATATTGAGGAATAAAAATTGATGTGTGTGTGTATTTAGGGGAAGCTAATTTGCTCCAGTACTTATGCTCCTATTACACATAACTAGCTGTTAAATACTTTCTTCAGACTCTTCCATATTATAGTATCATCATTTCTGAGTGATTCTGTTCAAATATTCAGAGTACTCAGGAATAGGTTTCCATCCTCACCTTGATAAATGCTGCTCTTTGGTATTTCTAGGGAACAAACCAAGAATTTCAATAAATGCCTTTAGACTTGCATGCTAGACACACAGGCCACTCACCTCACTCTGCACAGAACAGGACAACCTTTCCTTTCGGCCCAGGAAATCTTTATTACACAAAATATGACATCAAGATATACAAACATAGGAATGTCCAGGTACCACTGAAGAAAGATAAAGGAGTCACTTGGTTGCAACTGGATCTCATAGCACCTTTTCTTCAAAATCACCTTTATCAGGGTTGGCAAAGGTCAGGAAGACTTGTTCCAGGGTTATCTGACCAATGGAGTAGTCTTCTAAACTGAACTCCTCTTTGGCTCTCTCCAAAATGCCAAACACCTTCAGCAGCAGCAAAAATATGCAGTTATTTTGCAATCTCCACCCAGCCCCCAACCCAGATGAGCCTCTCCTCTTCCCCGGATGCTGCAAGGTGACACTATTATGTTTATGCTAGAGGACAATGGGCACAGAACTGGGAGACACCAGAGTAGAGGAAACAGGAACTTAGAAACAGGAGGACAGTTCTCAGTCTCTGTTGCTTTGTATGAGTGTGGATCAATAATGGAATTTAGCAGAAATCAAAGCAGTTAAGCTGTGGAAGTGTTTGACAGGTAACCCAAGGGCACTGCTGCTTCTGCAGTGCCAGGACCGTCCCACACCCGACTCCCAAGCAGTTCCCCTCAGGAGTGCTTGGTATTGTGCAATGCTAGAAGGGCCCGGCTTCTACCATCACCTTTCCCCAGCTGTTGTCCTTGCTTGGAATCGAGTAGGTAAGGATCCCTTGATTCTCCTCCTTTAAGATGCTACCTTAGGGCAAGAAATAGGATAAGTGAGTTGTCTTACGGATTTTATTTAATATTACTACAGCTACTTAATATAATGCAGAGAGATGACTGGACAGGGCTTACACAAAAGGGGATTTGACCACTCTTTGGCTTATATAGCGTGGTTATTGCTTTCAAGCTTATTCCTGATGAAATGTCTCATTATGTAGAAATCATAGCAATTACTGAGGACAGGCTTTTAGGTGCAACATAATAAATTGTCAGCTCATTTGCCCAATATAGAAAACCTGAGTCTTAAATTTTTTTTCTGGTGGTACTGGGCATTAAGTAGCCTGCAGTCTTCACACTGAGCTATGTCCTCCAAACCATCGATTTATCCACCTTTTTTTCTTTCTTTCCCTCCTTTTCCCCTCCCTTCCTTTCTTCCTTCCTTCATTGCTCAGTTGCCCAGGCTGGGCTTGAACTTGGTGGCTGGCTGCTTCAGCCTCCCAGTGTGCTGGGATTACTGTGCCAACATGTTTACCTGAGCATTTAAAAAGACGTTGGGCAACCCATTCGGGACTACTCCTCTCAGGAGCTACTCCTAGTCTTCGTTTCTATTCCCTATTCCTTTTCTCCAATGAATTTTGTCAGTCTTAACCTCTGTGTTCCTTAGAATTCATCCTTCGACTTTGGGAAACACAAACCTGGTGTATCTGATGCCTACCATTTCTCCTGTACCACTCAGAAGCTAGGAAAGTGCCTGCCAAAGAGCGGGTATTCATTTTTGGAATGAGTTTCTTAGTCACGTACTACAAACATGAGTTTCTTAGTTATGTACCACAAACATGTATCAATAAAAATAAAAAGATTACAAATATATTAATAAAAAACCCACTTTCCTGTTAAGATCAATAACACTGGTCCATAAAAAATAACAATGTTACTACAAGACTTTTTTCTTTCTGTATTTCGTACAGGGTGTACAGGATCTCACTACATAGATTGGACTCGTGGTGATTCTCCTGTTTTCAGCCTCCCGAGTGCTGGGGACACAGGCACGCGCCACCATGTCCAGTCTCAATCGCCATCTCAGTGCACCCGGCATGCAGGGCCAGCACTGCATGCCGGGGATCGAACCCTGGCTGCTGCGCTCTGCCTATGCAGGTGCTTTTGTCTGCTGAGCTATCAGTCTGGCCCTTATGAGACTTTATTCTTAACAGTTGTCCTGGGAATAGGAACTGGGAAGATTTTCTTGTTGGCCTTTTGTGCATGCACAGTATGTCTGGATAGAGGACAAGGTTGCCACATTCTTCCTGTGCTTATGCAGTCTCCTTTCACACGAAAGAAGTCATGCATATAAATCATCAAAGTCAGGCTGCGTGTTCTGCTTCATACAAGTAAGAATATACTAATGGAATTAGAGGGGAAGGTAGCACTCGTTCCTGATTTGGAGCAGATGTGTTTACACTTACCACTGCAAATTCACAAATTATTACAAGTTGAAATAATGTGAATTAAAGATATTTTAATAACATCTCTAAGGGTATATGAGCTTTTCCTTTTCTTTCTTTCCTTGAGAAAAGGTCGTGCTATGCAAGTCAGGCTGCCCTTGTACTTACCGAAACTCAGCCCATTGTCAAATTTGCAGCAATCCTGCTTTAGCTTTCCGAGTGCTGGAATAACAGTCATTACCACCATGACTGGCATGTTTCCTTAATATTAGCCTTACTGCATGATCTCCATGATCATGTCAAGTTTTTTTTACATAAACTATTTCACATACAGAGCTTAATGACTTATTGAAGACAAGCATTGATCATTTAGGTCAAATAACAGTTGCCCATCCACTCTCACGTGCAACCGTCTAGCCTCCATACACTAAGACAGTTACCAAGCTTAGCATGGACATTGAGGGCATTTATTTTGTGTTTGCTTTTGCTGTCCCCCCCTTTGTCTATCTTTTGCTTTATATAAATTTAAAAAAAAATTATTCATTTGGTACAGGGTCTCACTATGCAGCTCAGACTTGTAGTGATCCCCGTCTCAGCTTCCCCAGAGCTGGGAATACAGAAGTGCGCCACCATGCCCAGTCAGGGTTCCAGGACAGCACTGCCTGCGCCACCAGGGATCAAACTTGGGACCTTGAGCTTGCCAGGCAGGCACTTAGACCACCAGGCTATCTCCCCAGCCCTCTCTTTATATAAATTGGCTAAAATTTGTATTTCATTGTGTTCAGCATGTGGTTTTGATATGTGTATACATGTAGAAGTACTAAATGAAGTGAACATGCAGCTCCTTATATCTCTCTGTGTGTATTTATGTGTTAAAATCAGAGATTTTCAGTAATATAAGCGGTTAACTAGAGCCGCCACATTGCGCCGTAGATGTGCATTCATTCCCGTCAGCTCCATTTTGTGCCCGCTCTCCTGCGTCTTCCCTGCTATACCCCACATCCGCCTCTAGGAGCCACCCACTTGCTTTCCACTTTTGGGTGCTCCGTGTAGAGTCTACACCTCATAAGTTCATACGGCTTCCACCTTTCTATGCCTAGTTTAGCTCACTTAGCGTAATGTCCCCCACATTCATTCATGTTGCCACAAATGACAGAATGTCATTCTTTTTAAGGTTAACTAGTTCTCCATTGTGTATTTACATAACATTTTTTGTTGTTCCTCAGTGGACACTTGTTTCCACTGTTTGTCATTGTGAATAATGCTGCAATACACAGGAAGGTGCAGCTTTTTTTTTTTTTTTTTAACATATTGGTTCCCTTTCTTTGGGTATATACTCAGGATTGGGACTTCTGGGATATGTTAGTTCTATTTTTAATTTTTTGAGAAACTTCCATACTCTTTTCTATAATGGCCATACTAATTTATATTTCTACCAACAGTGTGCAAGTAGTCTCGTTCTAAACCCTTATCTACAGTGGTTATCACTTCTGTTTGGCAGCGGTCATTTTAACAGGTGGGAGGTGGTATCTCATGGAAGTTTTGATTCGCATTTCCTTGGGGATTGCTGATGTTGACCTTGTTTGCGTGTACCTGTTGGCCACTTGATTTCTTTGGAAAAGTAGCTAGGTCTTCTGCCCGTTGTTTGGATCAGGCTGTTTTGGTTTCTTCTTTTTGTTTTTGCTGTTGAGTTATTTGAGTTCCATGCATATTATGAATCTTAACCACTCCTCAGTCATTTCCCCCAGTCTCACAGGGGGAATCAAGGCTGCCTCTTCACTTTTGATTCTTTCCTGTGAGGTCCAGAGGGTTTTTTTTTTTTTTTGTCCCATTTGATTGTTTTTGTTTCCATGTATTTGTGCTCTTGTTGCCTGTGCTTTTGGAGTCACATACAGAAAATCAGTTCCTTTCTATGGTCCTACTTGATTAGCTGTTTTCTCAAAAATGGCAGAGGAAGGACTGGGCAACAACCTGACTTGTGAGTGAATCTCAACTGCACATCCACATTTTGTTTGTGACCCCACTTCAATAGGGCAAGTTGCTAGAATGCCCCGCCGTAAGCAAGGCTCTCTGCTCACAGTTTTTTCTTTGTAGTGCTTTAGGGACCACATCCACAGAACTTGCGTACAACGAGTGCTCAATATTGTTCGCCAACTGAATGTGTGACGCATGCATCTGCACTTTTCATAGGAACATCATAATCACGATTCATTCTGTTCTCCACTCTGCCTTACCACTTATTTTTACCTCCTTTCCCATCTCCATTTCTACTGTGTAATACATCATGTTGTTTTCCATACCCTAGAAGGTAAGATTCCAACTCCTTAGCTTAGTTTACAGCAGCAACTTCTGTTATATTTTATTCAGCTAGAGAAGTGAAAACTGAGATGAAAAACCACAATTACTGAAGTCCTTTTCATGCCTGTGCTTTAACTTTAGGAAAGAGAGGTAAGGAAGGGACAAAAAGAAACAGTTTTTGTCACTTGCACTGCACTATGCAGATAGAAAGATGTTTACTGAATTTGTCCTTCAAACCAGAAGGAGTATTGAGAAAAAACTCTCACTACAGCCTTGAACTCACTATGTAGCCCATGCTGGTATCAAACTCATGGCATCCTCCTGCCTCAGCCTCCTGAGTGCTAAGATTACATGCATGCACCATCATGCCCAGCACTTACTGGATCTTGCTTGCATTTCAAAACCACATCTTTGCCAAGGGAGCAAAACATCAGAGTCCATGCTTTGTGTATGTGTGTGTACCCTTAAAACTTTGCATGGGTAATATGTGAAAATAATTGAAAATTAGGCTAAAAACATGATCTTATCATTTAGATGGACAGAATACAAAAGATAAAACTGCTTCAGTAGGTGACAACTTCTGCTATTTGTGAACTTATTATAATTGGTCGCAGTGGCTTGTGCTAACAGATATTCCCAAAGGAACATCACAAAGATCAATGAATTTCAGAAAGTCACAGGAAATTGGTTCTTAGTCACTTTCCTTGTTGTGCAGGCACAACTGGGAGGAGGTTTACTTTGATTCTCACTGTTAGAAGTTTTGGTCACATGTGGCTGGCTGGCTCCCAGTGAGGATGGCTCACCGGAGGAGCCCTGCAGAGGAAGGCTGCTCTTCATGGCAGCCAGGAAGGAGAGAAGGGAGAGCCTGGGAGACACCTACTTCCCCACTGGGGCTCCAGGGAACCGTTTCTTCTACCCAGGCCTACCTCCCCACAACCGGCCAGCTATGGCTTCTCCATTACCTGGTCGCCTTCCGAATGCATGGGTCTTTGGGGCCCTGGAGACCTAAGCTATAATTGGTATGAAGACATGAATGACAGGGATGGTGACTGCCCACAAAGTTAGAACGTAATTTACCTGGAAATGTCACGGATATGAAATTTTTAAAATTCTCTGTTTTATCTGGACTCTTGACCTTGGCTTTCAGGATGTAGATGTTGCCAAACTTGTTCTTGAGATGCTGGGGGCTGCCGAGACACATGAGCTTCCCCTTCACCATGATGGCTAGCTTGGTACAGAGCGCCTCACACTCCTCCATGCTTGCAAAACAAGAGGGCAGAGCAATGCAAGACTGTCAGCTCCCTAAGGGGACACTTTCAGTTACAGCTGGCTCCTGTGGCTGTTTTCAGTCAGAGCTTGCACTTGCCAATCACTAAGCTCAGAGTTGGGAAGTGCATATTTATAAAATGATAAATAACAGACTACCCAGTTCTCCAGTGAGTACAGCATTTTCTGAATTACTGTCTTTTCCTTGATTTTTTAAAAAGTCCACCAAGTATTCTAGATCATATGAATCCTACTTCTTGAGGAGCCCACATACTCAAGCAAGTTTACCTCCCAGCTCAGTATCCCTGGCCCCAGATTCCTACTTAGGGTCACTAAGTCTACTCCCAGTCCTCAATCTAGCTTTCCAATGAAGCACACCTGTGGGACGTTATGATGATAGCCTTCCCACGTTCACGAGTCTTTGCCACGGTGTTCCAGAGCAAGCGTCGGGCCACTGGATCCATGCCAGTTGATGGCTCATCCAGGAAGATGACGGAGGGCTTGCCCATTATGGCAATAGCAGTGCTCAGCCTGCGCTTGTTTCCTCCACTTCAAGGTCAAAACATGGGAAAGAAGGTGGTAGAAAGAATGTGACACATGTCAGATACAGGAAAGACTCAGCACAACATCCCAAATGCTGAGGGTTCTAATGAACACTAAAACCTTTAACATGACATCCACAATACTGATTAGCTATGACCTTAAAAAGGTAGTAGGCCCAAGTGCACACCCCTCATGTACACTCATACATATATATACACAACACAATTTCTTGCTCTTTGTTTTTTCTTTTTGATACCAGGGTTGAACACAGGACCTTGCACTTGCCAGGCACGTGCTCATGCCACTGAGCTATTTCCCTGGCCCTAACAATTAATTTGCAAGTGACTTTTATGTTTCTGACTTTAGAAGAATTATTCATGTATTTATTGTTCTTATGGTATCATTGTTCCCAGGTGTATAAACACCATAATTCAAAGGCCCTGTATTCCTCTTTGCTTGAAAGACAAGCAGAGGAAAACCAGATGAAGATACTTCAATATTCAGAGGCGATAGTTCAAATGGGATTTTGGGTTTCATCTCCAAAAGGTAGAGACATGGTAATATGTGCATCTGCCTTGTTACTGGAATTTGAAACCTAGCAGAACATTCTATAGTCTTACAATTAGGTATTTGTGTAACAACAGGGTTTAGATGCAGTTGTGTGCATTTATTTCAGGTATCAGGAACAGAGAAGCACCGCAAGATCAGCAGCATCAACAACAAAATATGGCAGCTAATGATTCACCTGTAGGTGCTGATAAGATTGTTGGCATGAGGCTCCAGTTCCAGTGATGTCAAATGTTTGTTCACGTACTGTGGAATCTGGGGCTCCGACACCCCCCAGACTCTGGCATACATGATCATTATTTCCCAACCAGTCATATATTCCAGCAAAGCGTCGAACTGAGGACAATAGCCAATTCTTGACCTCACCTAATTACAAAAATTGCATTAGATAAAAACTCAAGTCATCTGTCCTGCAAATATCTACAGATGAGACAGAATACTTACAGCCCTCCAGGCCATGCTCCTCAGAGTCTACCAAGAACTTCCTTTTTAAAAAAAAGTATAAAATTATGAGTGTTGGACCTATTGTAATACCTTGGAAGATTTCCCTAATTCAGTTCTAATAATCTTGAGTATGGAGAAGCTAGAAGAAAGTTCAAGAGCCCCCTCGGCTTGGAGAAGCATTAGGATGCGAGATGCTTTGCTCTTCTATCGGGTGCCCTGAGGGGATGGTTACCTTGGAAACTTCTCCACTGTGCCAACTGACATCCATGTACACACCTTCTTCCATGGGAAGCTGAGCCCAAAAAAATGTTATCCCCATGTTTCCAAACAGGACACTAAAATGGAGTTCTACTTTAGATATTAGTCAAACATTTCTATTGATTTTTATTCAGGTGCAAAATAATTATTAATTAACATTGATCCCGGATTATTCATGACCTAGACTTGGCATGGTACAAACCTATCCTCTAATCACTAAATTGATTTTTAGTAGATGTAAAAAGCTGTATGGCATCTTTCCCACCCCCAAATTCATTTTCTTAAATCCTTTTAGGATTTATATGCTAGCATCTAGGATGTTATTTAAAAAATCTTAAATACAAATAAAATTAGAAAGTGATGGCCTGTGCTCAGCCAGGCTGGGCAAGAGACTTGGGATGACCCTAACTCACACCCCAGGCTGATCCTAGATAGAGAGATTGGCTAAGACAAACAAAGGTCCCCAAAACAATGAACAGCAACAACAAAACTAGTAGAACCCACAAACCCACAAGGATGGGAGGGAATATGATGTCTAGAGTTAGCACTTTGTTTGGGTCAAATGTCCAGTTGAAGACACAAGATATGGCCCATCAAAAGGGAAAAAAAAAAGCAGAAACGCTCCCTGAGAAAAGTCCCAATGGCAAGTCCCATTGACTGACAGAAAGAAAAGTCCCAACTGACTGGACAGACAATTTAAACACCAATCATTGTACAGGCGCAAGGAATTGAATGGGGGCTGAGAGGTAGCTCCTGGGTAGAGTCTGTGTTTCACATGCATGAGGCCTGGGTTGAAATTTCAGCCCTGGGAATAAACCAAAGGAAAATGTGGGAAATGCTAAGAAACGCATACAGAGTGGAAATATCAATACATAGGCATACGCAGAAACAAAGATAAAGAGGAGATGAAAAGTGTATAAATACAATTTAGAATTGAAACTGGCCGAACGGGTACCTGCTACTCACCTCCTCCACAAAGAAGAATCGGGGTAACAGTTGTACAGCTGCATTTTGGGGTGAGTTACAGTGATTGAATATTGGAAATCAGCAAAAGACTAGAAAACTATTTAAGACTGACTGATCTCAGCAGATTTCTTCAGAAAGAGAAACAAAACACCCAGCCCAAAACTACAGTGGCTTCACAGCCAGGGAGGGGCTACATGCTTTACAGAAAACACTCACCGACCTAACCCTAACTACTGGAAAGTTGCATGGGCCTCACAGCTTATAGTCTAGTTATGTGAGCAACCTGTACTTTACACAGTAGCTTTGCACTGGAGACGATTTTACATTATCTTTCAGCAAAATCTAGCTGTCCAACCCAAACCTAGGTGCCATCTTAAAAAGTAAACTATTGTCCACATTCGTACTTCTGTAAGCTCCAGAGAACCCTGTGTGTTCTCATCTCTGCTCTGGGGCCCGCAACAGTCCGCTGTGCTGGCTTTGCAGACCCACACTAGCCCCCAATGGCCCTTGGCCACAGTACTGGGTGCCCTATGCTGCAGAAGGACACGGCAGCACCCAGCGCTGTGGAAGGTGCCACAGGAGGACGTGGCCATGCCAAGCACCGTGGAAGGTGCCACAGGAGGGCGGGTGATGCCAAGCACCGTGGAAGGTGCCACAGGAGGGCACGGCAGCACCAAGTGCCATGG